TCTTTTTGTGCTCTTACCTTTGTTTCAGGGGCTGGAAACCTAACAATTTCACTTCCTAGACTACTTGCTAAAAGTCACCTAAAAAGTCAAAAGTCAAAAAAAAAAAAAAAAAAGACACTGGGCTATAGCTCAGATTACACAAGTATCTCTAGCTAAAGGATATGAATGAGTGAATGAGGCAAAATAGGTAAGAGAAGAAGGGCTTTAATTTTTTTTTTTTTTTTTGAGACAGTCTGGCTCTGTTGCCCAAGCTGGAGTGCAGTGGCGCGATTTTGGCTCACTGCTGCCTCTGCCTCCTGGGTCCGGGTTCAAGCAATTTTCCTGCCTCAGCCTCCCGAGTAGCTGGGATTACAGGCACCCACCACCATGCCCAGCTAATTTTTGTATTTTTAGTAGAGACGGGGTTTCACCATGTTGGCCAGGCTGGTCTTGAACTCCTGACCTTGTGATCCACCCACCTCGACCTCCCAAAGTGCTGGGATTACAGGCATGAGCCACTACGTCTGGCAGGGCTTTAATTTTTATCTACTGCTTTAACTTTCACTTCAGTGTGTTGGAGTGTGGTGGACAAGCACTCTCCCTCACTCTGCCATCCTGTTTCTTGTTGATATTTTCAACCATTCAGGTATGGATGTCTGAGGCCTCTCTTTGACAGTGATAGACAATTTCCTTGATATTTTTAATTGCTTATTTTTCCATTGACTTATAAATGAGAAAAATATAAAAATTTGAAGCTATCAACAAATTCTGCTGGATACTGATTATAATCACAGTGACTAAGTTAGGCATACATTTAAAAATCCAGAGTCTCTGTGTATTTGTTTCTGTATGTTGCCTATGTATCTGAAGTAAATTTGTCTCCACCGCCTGCTTCTACTTGTAACAGCCTCATGCCACTTCCCTTCCTGTTTCCTTTCACAGTATATTTTATAAAATAATAACTTTTACTAAATACTGCTGTAAATTTAACATGTATTATGACAAATGCATGTAACAGTTCCAAAACAAAGATTTACCTCCCTTTAACATCTGAGAAAATTGAGTTCAGAAAGAATAGTAATTGGCCCAGAAAAATTCTGGACACTCAGATGGTACACAAAGGGAAATTAACAAATCATGGTGCATATACAATGGGGTCCTAAAAACAATAAGAATGATGATGGGAAAATTAGGCTTATAAAACCCTTAGCATAAAACGTCATTCTCAAACCAGTCACACATGGAAAGATAGTCTTAAAATTGTTAACAATGGTTGCCTCTGGAAATAGACCATAAATAAGCTTCTTTCTGAAGAAAATGGTGAATACAGGAATACCAGTGGCACGCCTGGGGAACAGTAAGAAAGTAACTGACAGGGCACAGTGGTTCACACCTGTAATCCCAGCACTTTGGGAGGTCGAGGCGGGCAGATCACCTGAGGTCAGGAGTTCAAGAGCAGCCTGGCCAACATGGCGAAACCCCATCTCTACTAAAAATACAAAAATTAGCTGGGCGTGGTGGTGCGTGCCTGTAATCCCAGCTATTTGGGAGGCTGAGGCAGGAGAATCGCATGAACCTGGGAGACGGAGGTTGCAGTGAGCCAAGACCATGCCACTGCACTACAGCCTGGGCAACAGAGTGAGCCTCCACCTCAAAAAAGAAAAAAAAAAAAAAAAAAAAAAAAAAAACCTGATAAAAGCAAACATCATTTAAATGTTCTTTATTTTTTTTGCATTACGAAATAGTTTAAATATACAGAAAGACACAGAGAGTAAGAACCAACTCATATACTCACAGTCAGCTTTATCAAATTTTAAGAATTGGCTATACAGTATTTGCTTATTTTTTAAATAAATAAATAATGAAAGATATTTTCATTTGCATCCTTTCCCCAATCTCATTTGTCTTTCTCCCTGCAGGTCATCACTGTTCTGAATCTGGTGATTGTTTTATGAATTCTTTTAGATTCTTTTCATATAGTATTTAGTCATGAAAAATATACATAACACTAATTTGCATGTTTTGAAATTGTACATGTTATACTGTATTATACAAAATACTCTGTAGTTCAATTTCATTAATACTATTTTTGAGATTTACCCATGTTAACAGAAATATCTCTATCCATTTTAGTTTGCATTCTATCTTGTGTTTAACCTAATGGTTAGATTGCTTTCAACTTTTCATTCTCACAAACAGTGCTGCAATGGACCATCATATATATCTCCTTGAAACACGAGGAGAGACTATGTAGAGGTTTAAACGTGGAATTGCTGGGTCAAATGTTATTCACATCTTCAACTTTACTAGACATTGCCAAATTGTGCTAAATACAACTACTTCCAATAGCACCGTATGAGTGTTCCTACTGCTCCACATCTTTCCAGTAACTGCCACTCTAATGCTTTTGCCAATGTGATGATTTTTAAATAGTTCATTGTGATTTTATTTTGCATTTCCCTTACTACTAGTGAATCCCCTTACTACTAGTAATACCCCCAAATCCAGTCTTTCTCTACTGGTATGAACCATCACCATACGCAGTTTCTACAAATAGAGTCGATAATTTTCTTGCTGCTCTTAAGAATTTATACCTCATAGATACATTTCAGAACAAACTTGTGAAGCTAAAGGGCAAAAAAAAAAAAAAAAAATACACTGAAACATTTTGGCTGGAATTGCAGTGAATTTTTAATTAGGAAGAATTGCCAACTTTATCTCTGTAGTCTAGGCTATATAATGTTCCTTGATTTATTTTCTTGTTACTCTTCAGTTTTCTGGGTTTAGAAAATCTACTGTTTTATATTTAAGTATTAATTTACATATCTCCACCTCTGGAATTTTACTCTGTGAGAATATGGCCTTTGTATTGCTGTCATTTCCTCATACCTAAAACAGTGTATGACAAATAGTAATTACTCAATATTAACAGAATGAATGCCTATATCAATATTTGTATATCTGTCTGTTGTTTTCTTCCCTTAATCCCCTTTTGATTTCAATTTTGCAACCACTGGATAAAAAATTTTAAAACTTTACATTTTTCTATAGTATGGAACCCTTTACATGCCTTCTAAATGACCAGAATTCAACCATATAATTACCTGGGTATGGTGCTTTTTTCTCTTTTTTGAGATGGAGTCCCGCTCTGTTGCCCAGGTTCAGGGGCAGTAGCACGATCTCGGCTCACTGCAACCTCTGTCTCCTGGGTTCAAGCAATTCTCTTGCCTCAGCCTCCTTAGTGGCTGGGATTACAGGTGTGTGCCACCACACTTGGCTGATTTTTGTATTTTTAGTAGAGACAGGGTTTCACTATGTTAGGCAGGATGGTCTCCAACTCCTGACCTCATGATCCACCCACCTCAGCCTCCTAAAGTGCTGGGATTACAGATGTGAGTCACTGCGCCCGGCCAGGGTGTGGTGCCTATTTAAGTGGACCACGTGAATTTCTATGTTTATTGATTTTTTTTTTTTGTTAATTGTAACCATTTCTATTCCTTCCTTGATCTAAATATAGGTTCTGCATTCTTCCCAGTGAATTCTATTTTTCTTAATTGGCTTATCCAATTCATTATCTTTAGAAACTTCCTAAGACTGGCTATCAGTGTTATAGTTCCACTACCTAAGTTTATATCCACTACTAAGCTACAGTACAAAGACTGCCATTTATGTTCTAAAATTTTTAGATTTTCCAAATTCTGAACTGGTGTTTTGCAGGAATGCTCTACTTTGTCCAATAAGGAATCTTGTTTTGATTGTGAGGAGTAAATGATATATGTAGAGTATGTAAGTTAATATATGTAGAGTATGTAAGACAGTGCCTGATGTGTAGTGGGCACTCAGTATATGTTAGCTATTATCCTTTATTGAATATCTGCTATATTTGACAGACTATATGAAATACTTTACATGCAAATTTCTCATTTAATATGCACCAGTCTACAACAGACACTATTTCACTTAATACTAACATTTCTACAGTACAGTATCCTGTATTATTCCTATTTTAAGATTTAAAGAAAACCCTGAGGTTTAGATAAGCAAATCGCTCAAAGTCACACAATGCCATAGTAGTGTTGGAGCTATGATTTTCCAGAATCTAAGCTCTTTGTCCTGGGAAGTGCCTAGTGCCCAAAGAAGAAGACTGGAATAAAATAAGGCTGAATGGTGTGTAAGAACCAAATAACAAAAAGCCTCGCAGACAATTTTAAAGGCTGTGAATATTAGTCTAAGAACAATAACAAGCAAAAAAAAAAAAAAAAAGTTTTAACTGGAGATAGTAGTATGTGTTTTCTTTTCTGTTTTTTTTTTTTTTGAGATGGAGTTTGCTCTTGTTGCGCAGGTTGGAGTGCAATGGTGCCATCTCAGCTCACTGCAACCTCTGCCTCCCGGGTTCAAGTGAAGCTCCTGCCTCAGCCTCCAGAGTAGCTGGGATTACAAGTGTGCACCACCATGCCTGGCTAATTTTGTATTTTTAGTACAGATGGGCTTTCGCCATGTTAGTCTCAAACTCCTGACCTCGGGTGATCCGCCCACCTCGGCCTCCCAAAGTGTTGAGATTACAGGTGTGAGCCACTGTGCCCAGCCCATATGTTGTTTCTTATACTTTGAAAAGAACAGTTAGAGGCTGGGCGTGGTGGCTTATGCCTGTAATCCAGGCACTTTGGGAGGCCGAGACAGACAGATCGCTTGAGATCAGGAGTTCAAGACCAGCCTGGCCAACATGGCAAAACCCCATCTCTACTAAAAAATACAAAAATTAGCCAGGCATGGTGGTGCATGTCTGTAGTCCCAGCTACTCGGGAGGCTGAGGCACAAGAATTGCTTGAACCCTGGAGGCGGAGGCTGGGAGTCAGAGGTTGCAGTGAGCTGAGATCATCTCACTGCACTCCAGCCTGGGCAACAGAGCAAGACATTGTCTCAAAAATAAAAAAAAAAGTTTTAAAAAGAAAGAAAAAAAGATCAGTTTGAGTGCATTGTGGGAAATGGACTTAAAGGTAGCAAAAATAAATACAGGAAGACCTGTTTGAAAGCTATATTAGTAATCAGAGTGAGATGAATCGGACCAAGGTGACAACATTAAAGATAAAAAAGAGTACAAATTCTAGAAACATTTAGGACTCAGGATCTATAGGACTTGGTGATTGACTGGGTTGGGTGGTGACAGTGACTCCCCAATGTGAATTCTCTGGTGATGAGCAAGGTGTGCATGCTGCCTGAAGGTTTTTTTGCATTCCTTACATTCATAGGGTCTCTCTCCAGTATGAATTCTCTGATGTTGGGCAAGGGATCCACAGTAACTAAAAGCCTTTCCACAAACAGTACATTCGTAAGGTTTCTCTCCAGTATGAACTCGCTGATGTTGAGTAAGGGACGAGTCATTGCTAAAAGCCTTCCCACATTCGATACATTCATAGGGTTTCTCTCCAGTATGAACTCTTTGATGCTGAGCAAGGTAGGCAATCTGGCTGAATGCTTTTCTACATTCCTGACACTTATAAGGCTTTTCTCCAGTATGAATTCTCTGATGTTGAGCAAGGTGTGAATTCTGGCTGAAGGCCTTCCCACATTCCTTACATTCATAGGGTCTCTCTCCAGTATGTATTCTCTGATGTACTGTAAGGTATGCACGAAGGCTAAATGCTTTCCCACAGACATTACATTCATAGGGTTTCTCTCCTGTATGAACTCTCTGGTGTTGAGCAATGGATGATCTGTTGCTAAAAGCTTTCCCACATTCGATACATTCGTAGGGTTTCTCTCCTGTATGAACTCTCTGGTGTTGAGCAATGGATGATCTGTTGCTAAAAGCTTTCCCACATTCGATACATTCGTAGGGTTTCTCTCCTGTATGAACTCTCTGGTGTTGAGCAAGGTAGGCAAACTGACTGAAGGCTTTTCGACATACCTTACATTCATAAGGTTTTTCTCCAGTATGAACTCGCAGATGTTGAACTAGATGTGCATTCTGACTGAAGGCTTTCCTACATTCCTTACATTCATAGGGTTTTTCTCCAGTGTGAATCCTCTGATGCTGAACAAGATTTGATCTCTGGCTGAAGGCTTTTCCACACTCTATACATTTATAGGGTTTCTCTCCAGTATGAATTCTTTGATGAAGAGTAAGGGATGAACTCTGGCTGAAGACTTTTTCGCAGTCATTACATTTCAAAAGTTTCTTCTCTGCACAGACACTCTTGGGCTTAATAGCCATTAAATTTTTTTTAAAGCTTCTCTTTTGTGTGTCATGTTTATGTACTTTCTCCTCTTTGGGGATTATCCTTTGTGTACAAAGCAGTGGGTTCTGATGAAAACTTCCCCAAGATTTATATTCTTGTTCTCTTTCATCAACAAGGGGTTCTTCGTGAGTGATTATCTCTTCCTTGAAACACGCCTTCTGATTCCCTGGTTGCCTTTCAAAATAGCCCTCACATTTCCACTCTTCTTTCAAACTGGAGTATTCAAGATTATAGCTTGTAAGTGTTTCTATTATCTTCTGGGATTGATGTTCTTCATAAAAGTCCTGCTTTGGGGTTAATTCTTCAGTCTCACATATAGGCTCCCAGCCTGAAAAGTAATAATAAGAAAAAATGTCTCCTCTTTGAGTATCAGAAAGTATATTTAAGAAAGTACATCTGTAAAGTAAAATATGTGAATTAAATAGCAAAACCCACAGGAACATTGGCTTTTGCAGTTCTGAAGTATACAAGAAGAGAAACTGAAAACAGGTCATACAGAAACCTAAGAAGAAATAATTAGAGTTATAAAAGAAAAATCAGTAAATCTCAGGGCAGGAAGAAATTAGAGATGTGGTCAGAGCTGGTTACAATTTTATGCCTATGTTAATAAAATAGACACTGAAATAGTCTCCACTCTTTTAGCTGCTTCATTCAAGAACATTCATTGAACAAATATTTACCTTTTGCCAGATACTATTCTGATGCTTTTAATATCACAAAACAAAGATCATTACCTTCAAGGATGTTATTTTCTTAGAAGAGACAGAAAATAAGTGATAAATAAGTAAATTTCATTTTATGTTAGAAGATACTAAGTGCTTCAGAGGAAGAAAATCAGGGTAGGGGATGTCATGGGTACTGATGAAATTAGAGCTAGGAATCATTAATAAGTTAACATTTAAGCAAAGATTTGAAGAAAGTGAAGAAGTCAGTCAGTCATTCAAGTCTCTGGGGAAAAAGCATTCAGGGAAGAGGTAGCAGCTGGTTCAAAGGCCCAAAAGTAGAAGCATGTCTACTATGTCTGGGGAATATTAAGAAGGCCAGTGTGGCTATAGAGTGAGTAGCAGGATATAAAGTCAGCAGGTAAAAGGTAATGAGATTATTTAAGCTTCACAGGCCTTCGAAGGGAATTTGGCTTTTACTCTGAGAGGGAGAGTGTATTAGTTTGTTTTCACGTTGTTATAAAGACACTACCTGAGACTGGGTAATTTATAAACAAAAGAGGGTTAATCAACTCACAGTTCTGCATGGCTGAGAAGGCCTCGGGAAACTTACAATCATGGCAGAAGGTGAAGAGGAAGCAGGCACCTTCTTTACAAGGTGGCAGGAGAGAAGGAGAGAGAGAGAGAGGGAGAAAGGGAGAGAGGGAGAAAGGGAGAGAGGGAGAGGGAGAGAGAGAGAGAGACAGAGAGAGAGAGAGAGAGAGAGACAGAGAGAGCGAGCAGGAGAAACTGCCACTTTGAAACCATCAGGTCTCATGAGAACTTCCTCACTAGCATGAGAACAGCATGGGGTAAATTGCCCCCATCCAATCACTTCCCACCAGGTCCCTCCCTCAACACATGGGGATTACAATTCAGGATGAGATTTGGATGGGGACACAGAGTCAAACCATAACACATGGTAATATAGTTCCATCCAAATCTCATGTTGAAATGTAATCCCCAGTGTTGGAGGTGGGGCCTGGTGGGAGGTGACTGGATCATGGGGGCGGAGTCCACATGAATGGTTTAGTATCATCCTGTTGGTACGGTCATGATAGTGAGTGAATTCTCATAAGATCTGGTCCTTAAAAGTGTGTGGCACCTCCCCCCTCTCTCATACGCTCCTGGCTTTTGCCAAGTGATGTGCCTGCTCTCTGTTCACCTTCTGCCATAATTGGAAGCTTCCTGAGACCTCCTCGGAGGAAGATGCCACTATGCTTCCTGTACAGCCTACAGAACTGACAGCTAATTAAACCTCTTTTCATAGAAATTACCCAGTCTCAGGTATTATATTTCTTTATAGCAGTGCAAGAACAGCCTAACACAGATGGAGACCCACTGAAATGGTTTGAGTAGAGCAGTAACAGCTGGTTGCTATTCCATGAAGTCAACACAAAATGTGGTATATACATACAATAGATTATTCAGCCTTAAACGAGGAGGAAATTCTGACATATGCTATAATACAGATATAATTTGAGGACATTACAGTAAGTGAAATAAGCCAGTCACAAAAGGACCAATATTGTATGATTCCACTTATATGAGGTACCTAAAGTAGTCCGGCAATATAGCAGACTAGTTTTATAATGACAAATCTTCCTGGTACAAAAAAGCTTATGATTTTGTAGAAATAGAAAAACTTTCTTTTAGCTGCATTACCAAGCTGGCAGGAAACTAAGGTAAACTCTCAAAGATCAAACAGACTCTAGAAGGCACTTTCAAGTAAGTAAGGTAGAACTGAAGCTGGGAGCATCAATTTATCCCTGGTGAGTTTGGTCTTAGGCACATCTAACTGGAGTTTTAGGAAAAACAAACACAGAGAATGGGAAAGTGACAATATGTGAAGAGATAATAGCTGATAATTACCCCGAGTCCATTAATGGTCAGATTAAAAAAAAATCACAATAAATCCCAAGTATAGCAGCTGAAATTGACATCTAGAGACATCACATTGAAAATGTAGAATAACCAGGGCAAGAAGAAAGTTCTTGAAAGTTGCAAGGAAGAATATATTAAGAAAACTGACTTTTCAAAAGCAAGAACAGAAGCCAGAAAAGCATGGAATGGTATCTTTAAAGCACTCATAAAAATAATCTGTTGCCGGGCACAGTGGCTCACGTGTGTAATCCCAGCACTTTGGGAGGCTGAGGCAGGTGGATCACCAGGTCAGGAGTTTGAGACCATCCTGGCCAACATAGTGAAACCCCCATCTCTACTAAAAATACAAAAAATTAGATGGGCATAGTGGCGCGCGCCTGTAATCCCAGCTACTCGGGAGGCTAAGGCAGGAGAATTGCCTGAACCCGGTATGGAGAGGTTGCGGTAAGCCAAGATCATGCCACTGCACTCCAGCCCAGGCGACAGTGCAAGACTCCATCTCAAAAAAATTAAAAAATCTGTCAATCTATGACTGACAAGGAAACAAAACAATAACAACAATATAAGTTTATATGAATAGTATATCTCTAAAATATTTATAAGGAAATTACTTCAGGAAAAAGTTCTGGGATAGAATGGTGAACAAGGAAAATGACAAACGTGAAATTTTTTTTTTTTTTTTTGAGACAGAACCTTGCTTTGTCACCCAGATTGTAGTGCAGTGCCATGTTCTCAGCTCACTGCAGCCTTGAACTCCTGGGCTCAAGCAATCCTCCCACCTCAGCCTCCCAAGTAACTGGAACTACAGGCACACACCCCCATACCCAGCTAATTTTTGCATTTTGTAGAGACGGGGTTCTACCATGTTGCCCAGGCTGGTCTGAAACTCCTGGACTCAAGTGATCCACCTGCCTTGGCCTCCCAAAGTGCTGGGATTACAGCCATAAGCTACCGCACCTAGCCAAAAGTGGATAAATCTAAACAACACTAAATGTAATAATGGTCTATTATATAACTTCATAAAGCAAAATAATAGTTTATGGCATTGAAGAAAAACAAGGAATAACTGAAATGAGGGTAAGTTAAGACAGTCTAAGGTTCTTGTATTTTTTTTTTGAGATGGAGTTTTGCTCTTGTTGCCCAGGCTGGAGTGCAGTGGCGCCATCTCGGCTCACTGCAACCTCCGCCTCCTGGGTTCAAGTGAATCTCCTGCCTCAGCCTCCGGAGTAGCTGGAACTGCAGGCGCATGCCACCATACCCAGCTAATTTTTGTATTTTTAGTAGAGATGGGGTTTCACCATGTCGGCCACGCTGGTCTCGATTTCTTGACCTCCTGATCCGCCCGCCTCAGCCTCCCAAAGTGTTGGGATTACAGGCGTGAGCCACCACACCCAGCCATAAATGTTAGATTTTCTAAGGTAACCAGTACAGAATAGAAATAGATTGTATATCATTCAAATTAGGAGATGGAGAAAAACCAAGAAACAAGAAAAATTTGAAAAGGTACAATTTCTAAAAGAAAGTGAGACAGTGGAAAATAAATCCAAGTCTATTAACAGTACCAAAACATTTAATAAACCACCATCATTTGGTTAAAAGATAAAGGTTATCAGACTGGATTTAAAAAAATGTTTATCCAAATACTGCTTATCAGAGAAACACATGGCAAGGTCAGAGAATAAAGGAGTAGAAAAAAACTACATCAAGTAAATATTAACAAAAGGCAAATAAAGCTATAACAATATTAAGTGAACTTTTTTGCTTAATCAGATAATCACGAGATTTAAAGAGAGTAACAATAACATAAGAAAAAATTCACTAGAAAAAGAAAACATTCTAAAAACATATGACCAAATAAAATACCTTCAAAATACAAAAAATCTGCTGTTACAATTATGAGAAAAAAATTTATGTATTTACCACCAGAGTAGAAGTTTCTTTAACATGTCTCCCAGTAACTGATTGCTCAAAGACATTTTTTTAAAATCCATAAGGACACAGATTTGACCAGCACAGTTAATGAGCTTAATCTAATGAGCATATATCAAACACTGTATTCAATAACCAGAAAATACATATTATATTCAAGGACACATAGAATATTCACCAAAACTAGCCCTAAGAAATAAAGCAAGTCTCAAAATACTTTCAAAAAATGTATATTAAAGAGATCCCATTCTCTAACCGTCATGCAATTAAACAAGTACCGAACAAAAGCCTTCAATTTCAGACTTCTAAATAATTCACGGATCAAGAGATCACTGAGAACTAGAAAAATAATGGACAACTTCATCTAATAAGTTTGGAAACTTACATCAAAACTAAAAATATTTAGAAAAAAATACCCTAATTGACTCCAGGAGAAATAGAAAATCTAGAATTTTAGAACATATCAAATTGAATGATTAGTTTAAATTCTTTTAACAATAAAAATTCCAGGCCAAGATGAACAAAGTTCTACCAAACATTCAAAAAACAAATAATTTTTATTTTTCACAAATGTTTCTAAAGAAGAAAAAGAGAATTTACGAGAATAATCAACCTTGATTCTAAAATCCGACAAGAAGGGAAAACTGAAGGTCAAATTCACTAATAAATACAGATGCAAAACACCCAAACAAAACATTGGCAAATAGCAACTAGCAAAAAATGGAAAAGATATAAAGATGGGTTTATCTTGGGAATGCAATGTTGGTTTAACATTTGAAAATGTCTGTAAATTACCACAATAAGAGGTGAAAAACTAAAATCTGGTAAGAGGTAAAATCACCTACAGATGGAGAAAAACATTTGGTAAAACTCAAAAGCTTTCCACAATGAAACTCTAGCAAACAGGAATGAAAGGGTATGTACCAAAAACTTTTAAACATCACAATTATCAAAAAACAAAATATTAAAGTATTCTTATTAAGACCAGAAGTGGACAAGAATGCCTGTTATCACTACTTCGATTCATATTATACTGAAGATAAAACAAAGGCAACAGAAAAAGCAATTAAGTTATAAGAATTAAAAATGAAGAAATTGTCATTATTCACAAACATGTCTACTCATACATAAAATCCAAACATATCTAAAAATATTAGTATTAACAGGAGAGATTGGCAAGGTTGCTGGATATAAGATCAATGTATATAAAGTTAACTTCATTTCTATATATGTGCAACAAACAGAAAATATAGGTAACATTTAACACAGCAATGAAACTAGTATGTTTAATGTTTACAATTAATCTAACAGAAGATGTGCATAGCCTTTTTTGGAGAAAATTATAAAACATTGAAAAAAGTAAAAAAACCTAAATAAATGGAGAGCTATACCATGTTAATGAATTTTTTAAATTTCCAGAATTGATTACAGAATAAAATTTGAATCAAAACTTAAAATTGGAATCAAAACTTAACAGCATTGTGTTATTTTCTGATCAAAATTTACAAGTTGACCCTAAACTTTATATTGATGGCCAAAAGGCAAACAAGAAATTCTAAAGAATTTAAACAAGCTGTAGAGATGTTCCTTAGCAGATAATTATCGTTCTAAGAAACTATTTTTATTAATATAGTGTGGTACTAGTATAAAGAAAAAGAGATCAATGAAATTGAATAAAGTTTAAAGTCACAACCATAAAAAGACTAAAACTTGATATATTAAGAGGTAACATTCAGGAAAACAGGCAGAGGGAGCATTTATTTAAAAAATATCTGGGACAGAAATTAAATTCTTTTTTTTTTTTGAGATAGAGTCTCATTCTGTCGCCCAGGCTGGAGTGCAGTGGCCAGATCTCAGCTCACTGCAAGCTCCGCCTCCTGGGTTCACGCCATTCTCCTGCCTCAGCCTCCCGAGTAGCTGAGACTACAGGCGCCCGCCACCTCACCCGGCTAGTTTTTTGTATTTTTTAGTAGAGACGGAGTTTCACCGTGTTAGCCAGGATGGTCTTGATCTTGTGACCTCGTGCCCGTCTCGGCCTCCCAAAGTGCTGGGATTACAGGCTTGAGCCACCGCGCCCGGCCAAGATACAGAAATTAAATTATTATTTAACACAATCCTCAAAAATAAGTTCCAATTGGATTATGGACCTAGATATAAAAGGACAATCTTTAAAAGACTATTTTCGGATATCTATATGAACTCAGAACATAGAAGGTTTCTTAAAGTATCAAAAACATAAGCTACAGGCTGGGTGCAGTGGCTCACGTCTGTAATCCCAGCACTCTGGGATAGCAAGCAATGAATTCTGCAGTGAGTGTCCTCTACCTCAGCTCTATCTACCTGGAGATAGCATCAGATGCTTCAGGTTGAAGACTCAGTCCCCAAGACTGCCTACACTTCTGATGCTCTGTAGAGCTCAAAAATTTGTAAGATGCCAGGTGCAGTGGCTCATGCCTGTAATCCCAGCACTTTGGAAGGCCGAGGCAGGCAGATCACGTGAGGTCAGGAGTTTGAGACCAGCCTAACATGGAGAAACCCTGTCTCTATTAAAAATACAAAAATTAGCTGGGCGTGGTGGTGTGTGCCTGTAATCCCAGCTCCTCGGGAGGCTGAGGCAGGAGAATCACTTGAACCTGGGAGGCAGGGGTTGTGGTGAGCCGGGATCACACCACTGCACTCCAGCTTGGGTGACAGAGCAAGACTCCATCTCAAAAAAAAAAAAAAAAGTTTGTAAGACTAGTAAAAGATTTGTTAAAGACTGAGAGGCTTATGAAACTGAGAGGGAATGGGACTTACTAGAAAGGAGATAGGAAAGTGAGAGAAATGAAATGATTAAAAATAAGAAATGTGGGAGAACATCCTAAATGGCCCCAAATTTTTATAAAGACCTAGAACATCTGAGAAGAATTTGGAAGCCTGAAGAGTGAAGAGGTGATACCTTTGAGTCAAGCTGAGCTGTCACGTGCAAAGATTTTTGCCAATTTCCTCTTCACTAACCTGAGCACAAGCCTTTTGTCAGCTCTCTCTTCACCATCCAGGGTGCTTTCCCTTGTTCCAACAATAATATCACACTTGGTTTGGAAAAGCAAAGTCCTGCAATATATGAAAAAAAAGTAGAATTTGGTCATGCTGTGGATATTCCAGAACTCACATTCAATCCTTAAAACATCGGGGAAAAGGGAGTTTACAGTAAGCAAAAAAGAGAAATGTGTAAAGGACATGTATTAGAAGGATAAGGAAGATGAAGCTTCAGGCATAGGCCAAGAATATGTTCACTGCCAAATCCACAAACACTAACCCATTCATTTGGCATCGGCAGCAGACATTCAGCCAAACTTTGCAGATGTTATCCAAAAATTCACAATAGTGGTAGCAAAGAGCCCCTTTTGAGCAGAAGCTGAATTTTGCAAGAAGATATCCTTACCCAGTGATACTAAGATCCTGTAGTTCTCCAGCATCACATTACTATACAGGTGTCTTTGAGAAGAATCCAGACAATCCCATTCTTCTTGGGAGAAGTCTACAGCCACATCTCTGAAGGTCACCAACTCCTGAAATGAAATAAATGAAAGAACCTTATCTCTTACTATATTCACCTCATTTCCTCTGCCCTAGGCACACTGGGTCCTCTCTGATATTACATTCTCAAATATGTAACCATGTTACCATATTTGTACTCAGGGCCTTTGTATGTCTCAGATTATTCCAGTATAAAATAGTAATGCTTCAACCCCAATTCCCTAACCCTCCACAGCACTTAATTATTTTAATCATTGCCCGTTCTTCACCCTCCTCAACTAAAATTTAAGCTCCATGAGGGCAGATTATGTTTTGGCTTTGGTCACTGCTTTATCCCCAGGTACAGAATAGAATCTGGCACACCTGAAGTATTCAAATATTGACTAAGTTGAATTAATCAATGAGTGGCTTGAAGAAAATTTCAAGAAGCTAGAAAGGGATCAAAAATAATCCCAGAAAGTGTTCGCTGTATCTCTGACAACTGTACCAAACCAAGCAGAGCAAAGCATCAATTCCATTAAAATTCAAATACTTTAATGCAGAGTTCTCAAAATTTTGTGTAAAGAAATGGGTGTTCTACTCATAATATTGCTTCCGCCTATAGGGGTTAGAGAAAGTTCTTAAAAACTTGACACTGAGCTGGGCTCATGCCTGTAATCCCAGCACTTTGGGAGGGCGAGGTGGGTGGATCACCTGAGGTCAGGAGTTCGCGACCAGCCTGGCCAATATGGTGAAATGCTGTCTCTACTAAAAATACAAAAATTAGCCAGGCGTGGTGGTGTGTGCCTGTAGTCCCAGCTACTCCGGAGGCTGAGGCAGGAGAATCGCTTGAACCCAGGAGGCGGAGGTTGCAGTGAGCCAAGATTGTGCCACTGCACTCCAACCTGGGCAACAGGGCGAGACTCCATCTAAAAACAAAACAAAACAAAACAAAATGTGCTGCTGTGATGCTGTTGGATTCCAGGTTTCTATAATGTGACCACTTGCTGATGAAACATTCATTCATTATATGTGTATGTATTAATTTTTTACAAAATTAAAAGATGTGAACCTGGCAATGCAACTTTTTGCATTTGACACAATTTTTTTTTTTTTTTTGAGACGGAGTCTCACTGTGTCGCCCAGGCTGGAGTGCAGTGGCGCGATCTCGGCTCACTGCAAGCTCCGCCTCCCGGGTTCACGCCATTCTCCCGCCTCAGCCTCCGAGTAGCTGGGACTACAGGCGCCCGCCACCACGCCCGGCTAGTTTTTTGTATTTTTAGTAGAGACGGGGTTTCACCATGTTAGCCAGGATGGTCTCGATCTCCTGACCTCGTGATCCACCCGCCTCGGCCTCCCAAAGTGCTAGGATTACAGGCTTGAGCCACCGCGCCCGGCCTTGACACAATTTTGTTACAGTTAAAGAAACTGTCTCTAGGCTGGGTGAGGTGGCTCACACCTGTAATCCCAGCACTCGGGAGGCCAAGGCGGGTGGATCACTTGAGGTCAGGAGTTCCAGAACAGCCTGGCCAACATGGTAAAACCCTGTCTCTATTAAAAATATAAAAATTAGCTATATTTTATATATATTTTATATTTTATAGGTGCTATATATTATAGCAGCTATAATCCCCAGTACTCGGGAGGCTGAGGCAGGAGAATCGCTTGAATCCGGGAGGCAGAGGTTGCGGTGAGCTGAGATTGTGCCACTGCACTCTAACCTAGGCAACACAGCAACACTTTGTCTCAAAAACAAAACAAAACAAAACAAACTACCTCTACAGAAGCAAAATTCTTCAAGTTCAACACTCAGTAACCTTTTTTTTCACTTAATTATAGGACGTAGGCAAATCTCTCCCTCTCTGCTCCTGTTAACAATGCTTCCTGTTTTCCTTAGCTTATATAAATACATACAATAAATGTATAAATATTTATATACGACATATATACTTTCCACTGATGCTTTATAGTCAACAAAAATAATTTCTATGTCAATATAGGAGTTTACATTCTGATCTTAAAATATTTGACCCCTAACAAATGATAATACTTGGTTTCAAAATCCATTCACAATTATCATCAAACCAGTCTGAAGCAAAACTACAGTTCCCACTTTTTCCTGTTTTCTTTTTGCCCTTAAAGAAACATGGCTTCCAGCTGAGAGGACGACTTCCCCTAACGCCCTGTCACTGATGAATGTTTTCTTCCCCACATTCCTTGTACCACAGCACTTGAAGGTGAGGCAGGTCACCTCTTTGCTCTTGTTTCCAAAATATTTCCTCCTCCCTAAAAGACATCTAGTTTTAAACCTCATGAAATTAGAATGTGTCAATCACAATCCTTCCTTGTGATAGGTATCTACTAATTCCTGATAGATACCAGTTCTCTGTCATTCCTTAAATTCTTCAGCATCTGACTCACTGTCACTCCCTTCAATGCCATTCCTATCATTCTTTGGTCACTTCGATATCCACATAAATAATACTCCCTACAACCCGGCCTCTTAGTTCTCTGACCCCTCTCTCCTGGAATAGTCTTATCCTCTACGCTTCTACAGTCATTCATTTCCATGGTCATAACCCAGACCTTGTCAGTACCAGTCAATACCAAACCCTTCATAACCTCAATTACCCCACTCTGACTTCCACCTCCTATATCTCAACTGTTGCCCTGTGGTACCCCAAACTGGATAGTTTCTTGACTCCACCAGAAGTCAAATTCTGGAGAAGTACAATTTATTGTTCTTACCACTTTTTACCACTTTTTCACTGTTCCTCATCCCTGAGTACCCTCACTTCCCAGCACAACCATCTGTTATAATCACCCCCTGCATATGCCCTTGCCTTCCCTGCCCCTCTCTCACTTAACTGTACTCACTTGGTTAAACTGCAGCCATCTTTCTGCTTACTCTGTGCCTGTACCCTGCATAGCTGAACTCTGCTGGAGAAAATCATACCAACCATGCAAATTAGTATCACTTTAAATTCATGATCACTTAACCTCAAGTGGGCCGAAATGCTGCATGATACATTTCCCTAGTCCATTCATCCCTTCACTCTGCTAAATGACCATTTGATACTATCCCCTCTCTCCTCACACCTTCAAGATCTCCTTCCCCATGCTCACTCTCAGCTGACAATCTTACTTTTTCTCTGAGAAAACAAAACCCATTGAAAGATAATTCCCACAAACTCCCACCACATCTACACATCCATCTGCACCTGTGCTTCTACACCCTAACATGCCCTTATTCCTATAACTGAACAACCCACTTTCCTAGAAAAGGCCAAACACTTAGCTCCTCTTACCTACTTAAGCACATTGTTCCAGCAATTCCCTTTTCTCTATTCATCTTCAAATCTCCCTTTCTACTGAATCTTTAGTATCAGCCTGGCAACATATATCCATCTTTCTGAAACTTTGTCAATTATGACTTTCTCCTTCAGTTACCACCCATTTCTCTTCTTTTTTTTTTTTTTTTTTGAGACAGAGTTTTGCTCTTGTTGCCCAGGCTGGAGTGCAATGGCACAATCTCAGTTCATTGCAACCTCCACTTCCGAGGTTCAAGTGATTCTCCTGCCTCAGCCTCCCGAGTAGCTGGGATTACAGGCACGTGCCACCAGGCCTGGCTAATTTTTTGTGTTTTTAGTAAAGATGGGGTTTCCGCATGTTGGTCTGACTGGTCTCGAACTCCCTCACCTCAGGTGATCCGCCCGCCTTGGCCTCCCAAAGTGCTGGGATTACAGGAGTGAGCCACCACGTCCGGCTCTCTCCTCTTATAGCTAAACTTTTTTTTTTTTTTTGAGACGGAGTCTCGCTCTGTCGCCCAGGCTGGAGTGCCATGGCCGGATCTCAGCTCACTGCAAGCTCCACCTCCTGGGTTGACGCCATTCTCTTGCCTTAGCCTCCCGAGTAGCTGGGACTACAGGCGCCCGCCACCTCACCTGGCTAGTTTTTTGTATTTTTTAGTAGAGATGGGGTTTCACCGTGTCAGCCAGGATGGTCTCGATCTCCTGACTTCGTGATCCGCCCGTCTCGGCCTCCCAAAGTGCTGGGATTACAGGCTTGAGCCACCACGCCCGGCCATAGCTAAACTTTTTGAAAGAGTTGTCTATGCTCTCTGTTATTTCCACCCACCCTCTGCCTATAAATAATGAACTCATACAACTTATGTATTAACAGCATCACTTTGGCTGCTCCACTGAGAACAGACTAAAAGAGAACAAGAGTGGAGGTAGAGAGAGAAGTTAGGAGAGTACCACAGTAACACAGGTGAGAGATGATGGTTCAGAACATAATGGAAGCAGTGGTGATACTAAAAAGTACTCTGGGCTGGATGCCGTGGCTCACGCCTATAATCCCAGTCTTTGGGAGGCCAAGGCAGGTGGATCACAAGGTCAAGAGAGAGAGAGACCATCCTGGCCAACATGGTGAAACCCTGTTGCTACTAAAAATACAAAAATTAGCTGGGCATCGTGGCGCATGCCTGTACTCAGGAGACTGAGGCAAGAGAATTGCTTGAACCAGGGAGAGGCGAGGGTTGCAGTGAGTCGAGATCATGCCACTACACTCCAGCCTGGCTGACAGAGCGAGACTCCATCTCAAAAAAAAAGTAATCTGATTCTGGATGTATTTTGAAGTCTCTGATTTCCTGATGGAAGATTTTTAGCTTAATCAGTGGAGCTAGGAAAGTACCTAAGAGTTTCCTAGTTGAGTTCCCTAATTCTATCCTTGTCCCATTCAGTTTATTCTCACTAGCAGCCAGAGTGATCCTACCAAATGAAAATCAGTTCATGTCACTCATGTTCCAAAACCACCAGTGGTTCTTTTCACTCCATTTGTAAGATGTTTGCATTTGAGATATCTCTTATGCAACCAAATGAAGATGTTAAGTAGGCAGTCAGGTATACAACTCTAGAGTTCAAGAGAGAGGTCTGGGCTGTGTACAGTTTGGTAGTTGTTGGCATATACATGGTATTTGAGGCTATGAGACAGGATGAGATCACCAAGGTAGTAAGTGTAGATAGAGAACAGGATGAGGGACTAAGCACTGTGACACCCAGTGGTAATGCGTGCTTACTAAAAATTAGAATGAATGAAAGTTGTTTGGTTAGAAACTAGAGTGAGGAAGTTGGTCTGTATCCGTATCTGAGGGAACAGTATCCCAGGCAGAGGGAGTAGCAAGTGCAAGGCCATGCATTAAGAATGTACTTACTGGCAGCCAGCCACGGTGGCTCACGCCTGTAATCCCAGCACTTTGACAGGCTGAGGTGGGCGGATCACGAGGTCAGGAGAACAAGACCATCCTGGCTAACGTGGTGAAACCCCATCTCTCCTAAAAATACAAAAAATTAGCTGGGCATGGTGGCGAGTGCCTGTATTCCCAGCTACTCGGGAGGCTGAGGCAGAAGAATGGTGTGAACCCAGGAGGCGGAGCTTGCAGTGAGCCGAGATCGTGCCACTGCACTCCAGCCTGGGGACAGAGAGAGATTCCGTCTCAAAACAAACAAACAAACAAACAAAAAGAATGTACTCACTGGCCAGGCCAAGTGTGGTAGCTCATGCCTGTAATCCCAGCACTTTGGGAGGCTGAGGCGGGCAGATCACCTGAGGTCTGGAGTTCGAGACCATCCTGGCCAACAAGGTGAAACCCTGTCTCTACTAAAAATACAAAAAATTAGCTGGGTCTGGTGGCACGTGCCTGTAGTCCCAGCTACTCGGGAGGCTGAGGCAGGAGAATTGTTTGAACTCGGGAGGCGGAGGTTGCAGTGAGCCCATATCGCGGCCGCTCCACTCCAGCCTGGTGACAGAGTGAGACTATGTCTCAAAAAAAAAAAAAAAAAAAAAAAAAAGAATAAGAAAGAATGTACTCACCACATTATAAGGAAGCTAGTGTTGCTGGAACTGAGTGACTGAGTTAAAGACAGGGTGAGAAAAATTAGATGAAGTCAGAGGGACAGTCAGGGACCAGATTATGCAGGGCCCTGCAGGTCAAGACAAGGACTTAAGCATTTATCTTGAATAAGATGGGAATCCAGTGGAGAGTGTTGATAAGTGATATGACTGGTTACCCAGAAACGTTTCAGCAGAAGGAAAATTAGTATCTGCTTATTTTGAAAAGCAGACAGGTATTCAGGAAATAGAGAAAACACCAACGCACCTGGTACATGGCTTTAAGAAGCCCAACAGCCATTCTTTCTCCCTCCTTGCTCTTCTCTTGGGAAATGGCAGTGGCCTCAGATAACTGAGATGGGGAAAAGAACATGAGAAACTAGACTTTTCTTGCAGCATCCAGAATCACCAGTCTAGACTTTTTAGGATTCTCTTTCCTCCTCTTGCAACCTTCCCTCCAATATAGAGAACATAATGGAGACCTAGGAGTTTGTTTGCATACAATTTAACTCATGCCTAAATCATTTTGCAATTCCTTAGCTTAACACCAGATGTTCTAGGTTTTACAAATACAGACTCAGAGGAATGTAAGCTTTCACATAAAGACACAGAACTAATAAATAAGAGCACCAAGATCAAATAAAAGAGGACCTGACCCCACAATCCTCCTCTCCAATAAATCAGTGATTCTGAAACTTGGTGGCACATTGATATGACTTGAGCCGGCTTTAAAAGCCTCTCGGTGGCACACAGTCTCTCATTCAATGCCCCACATAATCAGAGTCTGAAAAACTACAGTGCCAACCACCGTCTTACCCACGCCACAGTCAGAGGCCATGGGTATGGACTGTCTCACACGGGCACCCTTTCCCATACCGGCAAGGCTCAGACACCAGGGTATCTATCACAAGCGACAGTCTCACAACCCAGTCACAAAGAGGCCGCGGGTATCGGCCCAACAAGGGGCAGCGAACACTCGCCCGCTCCCCCCCCAACTCACAGCCTCACACTCCACGGTGCCACTGACTCCCTCGCACCCAGTCACACAGGACGTGGACAGGCACACGCGGTGACAGCCTCGCACTACGGTACCAACCTCCACTTGCACCGGAGTCACACAGAGGGCCTGGGACGAGCTTCCGGAGAACCACACGCCACTCCTCAGCCCACTCCCTACCTGCAGAACAGAGCTGGGGGAAGAGCCCGTTCCCGCCCCAAAGGGTCGGGGAATCGTCGCTCGGATCACACCCCTACCCTGAGTTAGATGGAACCCAGCCCCTACGGGCCCGGAAAGACGCGCCTCAGCTGCCTCCGCCCCCGGAGGACACAAAGGGGCCGCGGGCCCAGCTCCCGCGGGGGCACCTGGGAAACGTAGTCCGGAGTAGAAAAGGTCGCGGCGCCGTAGGATCTGGCAGCAACAGGGCAGCTCCGCGCAGGGTTTGTAACACTGCCCCCTCCCCACCAGGTCCTCCCACGCTGGCCTCTTCCCCTGCCTTCCAGAGAGCCCGAAAGTCCGGATTCCCTGCAGCTCCGAGCCTGGCTGGGTCACAGGGACGGGACCCAGCGTTACACTACAGTGGCTGGTATGGTAGGCACAAGCGCTCCGCGCACCCCACTTAGCAACCAGGGCGGGGAGTTGAGAACCGCGGGTTGGCCTCAGGGAAAAGGTTTGTGCGTGGGAACGCGCTAGTGGCGCGTCTGCTCAAAATGGGTGGGAGGCGAATTCCTAGAATTGTGCTGGATATCCGAAAAAAGTTGGGGGGGGCGAGGGTGCGAGGAGGTAAACTGCGCCAGCGTACTACACTCCTGGCAGCCTCCCACTGGCTACCCTTGGCCAGGCGCGGTGGCTCACGCCTGAAATCCCAGCACTTTGGGAGGCCAAGGCGGGCAGATCACGAGGTCAGGAGTTTCAGACCAGCCTGACCAACATCGTGGAATCCCGTCTCTAATAAAAATACAAAAGAATTAGCCGGGCGTGGTGGCACGCGCCTGTAGTCCCAGCTACTCAGGAGGCTGAGGCAGGAAAACTGCCTGAACCCGGGAGGCGGAGAGGCGGAGGTTGCAGTGGGCCGAGATCACGCCACTGCACTCCAGCCTGAGCGACAGAGCAAAAGTCCGTCTAAAAAAAAGAAAAGAAAGAAAGAAAAAGAGAAAAAACCGCCAGACCTCAAATGATCCGTCCGCCTTGGCCACCCAAAGTGCTGGGATCACAGGCGTGAGCCACCACGTCCGGCCTATTATCTCTTTATTAAAGGTATTAAGACCGGCCCCGTGCGGCTCTTGCCTGTAACCCCAGCACTTTGTGAGGCCCAGGCGGAGGATCGCTTGAGCTCAGAAGTTTGAGACCAGCCTGGGCAACATAGTGAGACCTCATCTCTAAGAATTAAAAAAAAAAAAAAAAAAAAAATCAGCCAGGCGGGGTGTCCCGTGATTGTAGTCCCAGTTACTCGGAAGGCTGAGGCAGAGAATCGCTTGAGCCCGGGAGTTCGAGGCAGCAGTGAGCCAGCATCGCGCCGCAGCACTCCAGCATGGGTTACAAAGTGAGGCTCTGTCTCAAAAAAAAAAAAAAAAAAAAAGATATTAAGACTAAAGGCATGGAGACATTAAGTACCTAGTCTGAGATGACACAGCTAGTAAGGCCAAGTCTGTTTAGAATCCAGGCGGATTGGCCACACTACTTTTCGCTCACGATCCCGGGTCATGAAATCCAGTAACACTGTCACTTCGAGAAGTCCAGAAAGAACAAATACATGCAAGGTCAGAATCAAACAGCCACGAGAATATAAAACGCGACCATGGTCACACAAAAGGTCGCATATTCGCACGACCTCAGATGTCACTGGACATGGTCTCTCGCCCGGGAAACCCCAAACTCCAAATTCCATGGCCGAAGTTTCACACATACAGTCACACAACGTCACTCCTCCCTGTTCCAGCCGCTGCCAGGACCTTAAGGCTCCAGCTGACCCGGCCTTCACGGGCACTTGAGCTCTCACCACCTTCACCACGCCGTATTCTAGTCTCAGGTAGAAACCCGAGAAGACGGAACTAAACAGACTGAGCCAGGCTTCCTTCACGGACCCTGCGAACCTGCAGCTCCAGCCCACTGTAAGAAGGAAATGCCTTTTTGCAGGGGGAGAGGGGGGAGTAGGGCCGCGAAGGCCTCTGGGAAATGTAGTTCGGGGCAGGAAGCAGCGGAACGACTCGATTCTTCTCAGTACCAAGTTGCGCTCCCAATCTGAGAGCTGGGCTGGCGGGAGGCCGCTGCGGCAAAACACTAGGCTGAGCTCCGCTACGCGGAGCTGTGAGCCCTGGAACGCCGTGGTCGGCTTCTCAGGACGCGCAAACGGGGAAGCCGGTCCCGCCCGGGTGAGCCGCGGGGGCCTCTGGGAAGCGTCTCCCCTGGTCTAACGGACCAAGGCTTGTGGCGCCCTCAGCCACCTACAGCCCCGGCCTCAGGGGCGCCTCTGTCCCAGCCCGCGCCGGCTGTGCCACTTCGGCAGCTTTACGTGTGGTTTCGGGGCCTGTGTCCGCGGGCTCGGTGGTGAGTCCTCCGGAAACCGCTAGCTCTGAGCGCCGGACTCTTTGTGCTGGGTGGGAGTAGGGGCCCGCGGACCCGGTGCCCCAGTCTTTGGAAGAGGACGCCAGGCGGGGCGATGCCTGTGCCTGTGGTTCCCTGAGGCAGTGGGAGTGGCGTGCGAAGGACTGTGAGAGTCTGGCGTGAAGTGACTGTCATTTGCCAGACGTTTGTCTGGCTGAGTGTGGCCCCGGGAGCGTGTCCGTAAGCGGATTTCGTGGAGGCACTTTCCCTTTTATCTTTCAGTATGAACCTGCGTGCAAACATGCGTGACAGTGGGATCTTGAATGAATGAAAAACTGTTTTTGCAAGGTAGGGTGTGCTTGTGGGCGTAGATGTGTGACACTTGGCATTTCTGCCAGCGCTGCATGTCTTTGGCTATGGTCATTGGAAATAAGTTCTTTTTGTTTGTTTTCGTTTTGTTTTTGAGACGGAGTTTCGCTCTTGTTGCACAGGCTGCTGGAGTGCAATGGCGCGATCTCGGCTCACCACAACCTCTGCCACCCGGGTACAAGCGATTCTCCTGCCTCAGCCTCCCGAGTAGCTGGAATTACAGGCGCGTGCCACCACGCCTGGCTAATTTTGTATTTTTTGTAGAGAAAGGGTTTCTCCATGTGGGTCAGGCTGGTTTCGAACTCCTCACCTCAGGTGATCCACCCGCCTCGGCCTCCCAAAGTGCTGGGATTGCAGACGTGAGCCACCGCGCCCGACCGGAAATATGTTTTTATATGAAACATCGATAGCCTCAACACTTCATTTTTAGTTTTATTTTCGTGTATTAGCTACATTGTTTTGTGTACGTACTAAACTCATTCTCCTCGTCCCCTACTCCACCTCATTTGGGGAGTAGAGTGGGGTGGAGAAAAATACAGAAAAGCTCGAAGAACAAAAATCATTCATAGTTCTACCAGCCATGCAACTACTGTCAAAATTTACTTTCCATCTTTTCACCCCCGCCTTTGTGAATACATACGTATACGTTCATATGTTCTATATATGTGCATGATGGCTTCAAAATTGCAGTCACACTATACATACAACTCTGTAACCAACCTGTCTTATTTAACAATATATGATTGGTATCTTTCCATTTAAACAATCACAAATTATGCCATCATTTTAAAGTATTTCATGGTATACGTTTACCCCTGCTGATGGGTGATTTGGTTCTCTCTAGCTTATTGAAATTATAAACTGTGTGTTTATCAGCAACTATTTGGCACATGTTTTAATGTACTTTTCCAAATTTTTTGGAGGGGGAGCAGGCTCCTAAAAGTAGAATTGATAGGTCAAAATGTATGCTCTTATTAAAGGTTCTCTGAGCCTATCCAATTATTCTTCTGTAAAGTTCCAATAATCTGCAGTATTATTGGCATAAGACTGCCTATATCCTCACGCACCATTGATAACAATGGATATTCTAAATAGTAGTAATCTTTGTTCCTCATTGCTATAAATTAATTAATTTACTATAAAACAATTGTTTGATTACTTATTGAAGTCAAGCATTTAAAAAATCTTTTGTGAATTATACGTTTTCTAAAGTAGCGTTCTGTTTTCAAATTTCTTTTCCAGGGTTCTTCATATATTAAGGATTCATTCATTCATAGACTCATCATTTATTGAACGCTGTCTGTGTAACAGGCACGATCCTAGGTGCTTGGGATATAGCAGTGAACAAGAGGCAACCCCCCTACTATCATGGTACTTACATTTTTGTGGGCCAGATAATAAACAAGGTAAGTAAATTAAATATGAAGTATATTAAATGGTGAAAAATACTAAGAAAAAATGTGAAGTGAGAGGATATTTAGAATTAGAGATGGGAGTTTGAGTTTTAGATGGGTTCTTCAGGGAAGGCATCCTGAAAAGGTAGTAATAAAGATATGAAGGAAGTAAAGGATCTATTTATGCATAAGTGAGGAAAGTTATTCCAGGCAGAGGGAACAGCAGTTGTAAAGGCTTTGAAGTGGCAACATGCCTGTTAGTGAAGAGGCTGGTGTGGCTGAAATAGAGTAATTGAAGGGGAGAGTAGTGGGAAAGAAGAGAAGAAAGGTAAGTGGAGGGGAGGAGGGCAGATCAGATTGGGCTTTATGGCCCGTAGTACTAATTTTGGCTTTTCCTTTGAGTGAGATGGGAAGCTGCCGGAGGGTTTTTGAGCATGGAAATGATACTATCTGCTTACAATTTAAGAAGATAGCTTTGGTAGCTCTGATGAGAATGGCCTATGGGAGGACAAATGAGGAAAAAGCGGGCAGGTCAAGGGAAGAAGCAGAGAGACCAATTAGGAAACTACAGTTGTGTTGCTTAATGATGGGTATCCATTCTGAAAAATACTTGGTTAGACAATTTTGTCCTTGTACGAACATCATGGAGTGTACTTACACAACCTAGATGGTATAGCCTCCTGCAAACCTAGGCTGTATGGCATAGCCTATTCTCAGGCCACAAACCTGTACAGCATGTTACTGTACTGACTACCATAGGCAACTGTAACACAATGGTAAGACGTTGTGTATCTAAACATATCTAAACACAGAAAAGATACAGTGAAAATGCAGTATAAAAGATTAAAAATGGGCCGGGCGCGGTGGCTCATGCCTGTAATCCCAGCAGTTTGGGAGGTCAAGGTGGGCGGATCACGAGGTCAGGAGATCGAGGCCATCCTGCCTAACAGGGTGAAACCCCATCTCTACTAAAAGTACAAAAAATTAGCCAGGTGTGGTGGAACACTTCTGTAGTCCCAGCTACTTGGGAGGCTGAGGCAGGAAAATCACTTGAACCCGGGAGGCGGAGCTCACATTGAGCCGAGATTGTGCCACCATACTCCATCCTGGGCAACAGAGTGAGACGCCATCTCAAAAATAAATAAATAAATAAATAAGATTAAAACTGGTACAGCTATATATATATTTTTTTGTGTGTGTGTGGTGGTGAGTGAATACGAAGGGTTAGGACATTAGTGTACACTACTGTTGACTTTATAAAAACCCTACACTTAGGCTACACTAAATTTATAAAAACATTTTTCTTTTTTCAGTAATAAATTAACCTTAGCTTACTGTAACTCTTTTACTTTATACATTTTTAAATTTTTTAAACTTTTTTACTCTTTTATAATAATACTTAGCTTAAAACACAAACATATTGTATAGCTGTACAAAAATATTTTCTTTATATCTTTATAAGCTTTTTTCTATTAAAAACTTTTTAACTTTTGAAACTCCTTTGCTGAAAACTAAGACACAAACACATTAGCCTAGGCTTACACAGGGTCAGGATCATCAATATCACTGTCTTCCACCTTCACATCTTGTTCCGCTGGAAGGTCTTCAGGGGCAATAAATATGCATGGAACATGCAGGAAACAAAAAACATGCATTGTTATTGTTATCATCTCCTATGATAATAATGTCTTCTGGAATACCTCTGGAAGGACCTGCTTGAGGCTATTTTACAGTTCACTTTTTTTTTAAGTAGGATTATACTTTAAAATAACAAAAAGTATAGTATAGTAAATACATAAAGCAGTAACGGTCATTTATTATTTTCAAGTATTATGTACTATACGCATGATCAATAATAATATTATCAAATACTAATACCATACAAAACTGTATGTGCTATACTTTTATACCACTGGCAGTGCAGTAGGGGTGTTTTGTTTACATTAGCATCACCACAAACATCATAGAGTGTACTTATATAAACCTAGGTTACATGTGTAATGCATTGTGCTATGACGTTATGATGGCTATGACGTTACTAGGTGATAGGAATTTTTTTTTTTTTTAAAGTTCAGCTTTTTATTGAACACATTATAAAAGAGATTTACTCAAAAAGACCAAAGCCCATGTCATCATCATACTCCTCGGATTCTTCTTTCTTTGCTTCCACTTTCTTCTCCTCAGCTGGAGCAGCAGCAGTGGAGGGGGCAGGACCTCCTGCTGGTGCAGCACCAGCTGCTGGAGCAGGTCCACCAGCTCCTACATTGCAGATGAGGCTCCCATTGTTGACATTGGCCAGGGCCTTTGCAAACAAGCCAGGCCAAAAAGGTTCAACATTCACACCGGCTGCTTTAATGAGGGCATTGATCTTATCCTCCGTGACGGTCACCTCATCGTCGTGCAGAATGAGGGCCGAGTAGATGCAGGCGAGCTCGGAGACGGAGGCCATAGCGCGGGCAAGTGTGGGACTGGCGCTGCCGGACGCGGTGCTAGTCGCCGGATGAAGTGAGGCCCTCACTCCAACGCGGCCTTAGCTTTCTCGGAAGGACCGAGCACCTTCGCGACAGCTGAGGAAAAAAGGCAGGAATTTTTTAGCTTCATTAAAATCTTATAGGACCACTGGTTGTATATGTGATCTGTTGTTGGCTGAAATGTTGTTACATAGCATATGATTGTATTGTAGTACTTTAGGGAAAAGATATTGGTGATCTGGACCAGAGTAGTAAAAATGGTGAGAAGTAGTCATGTACTAGATATAATTTAAAGGTAGAGCTGCCGTGATTTGCTGACAAACTGAGGCAGATTGTGAATGAGACAAGGTGACACAATATTGTTTTTATGAGTAACTTGAATGGAGGTGTCATTAACTGCGAAGGGGAACAATGTAGGAAAAACTGACTTGGAATGTAGGAAAACAGTGAGATTTCAGTTTGGAATATAGTATGTGAAATGTGAGGATGCCCATTAGACATTCAAGTGGAGATATCAAGGTGGCAACTGGATATACAAGTATGAAGTTCAAAAGGAGAGACAAAAGAGAGATCTAAGGTCTAGGATGGAGACATATTTGGGAATTATCAGGATATAAATGATATTTAACACGAGACTGAATGAGATCACTTAGAGGTTAGGATAGATAGAGAAAGGTGGAGACAAAGGACTGATCTCTGAGTCACTCTAACATAACAAACTCTGGGAAGTAAGGAGGAATTAGCAAAAGAGACTGACAGGGACTAGCTTGAAATGTTGAAGGAACACTAGGTGAGTGTGATATTCTGGAAACCAAGGGAAGAACGTATTTTAACAAGAACTGTGTCGGGTGCTACCAATAGGCCACGTAAAATGAGGAGTGAGAAAGAAACATGGAATTTGGCAACATGAAATTCATTTATTAGGGACCCTGAAAGCAGTGTCCATGGAATTTTAGGCCAAAGAGAGAACTGGAAAAGAAAAAATTGGGCCGGGCGCGGTGGCTCAAGCCTGTAATCCCAGCACTTTGGGAGGCCGAGACGGGCGGATCACGAGGTCAGGAGATCGAGACCATCCTGGCTAACACGGTGAAACCCCGTCTCTACTAAAAAATACAAAAAACTAGCCGGGCGAAGTGGCGGGTGCCTGTAGTCCCAGCTACTCGGGAGGCTGAGGCAGGAGAATGGCGTGAACCCAAGAGGAGGAGCTTGCAGTGAGCTGAGATCCGGCCACTGCACTCCAGCCTGGGTGACAGAGCAAGACTCCGTCTCAAAAAAAAAAGAAAAAATTGGAGATATCAAGTCTAGACAATTCTTGAAGATTTTTTTTTTTCTAAATGGAAGAAGTGAAATGGCGTGGTAGCTGGAGTTAAGAGGTATACATTCTGTTTATATACTGATTGAAATGATCCAGTAGAGAGAGAAACTACAATACAGGAGAAAAAGCAGATAATATAAAAATGTCCTTAAGTAGCCAGAGCAAATGAGATCTCGTGGCAGAGTTTGGCTGAGCTTGGACCTTGACCATGGTAATAACAGGAGAGAAGGGAGAAGTACTCAGGCACAGATACAAGTAAATGGGCAGATGTGTTGGTGAGAACTTGTGAACCTTGTTTTATGATTGTTTTAACTTTATAGTGAAGTACCTAGAAAGAGACTCAGATGAGAGTGAGACTGGTGCTAGAGTTTGAGAAGAGCAGGGGAAAGAAAATCACAGAGATTGGGACAGAAAATAGAGAAATTATGATTTTTAGGCACCATTAAAGACCCACTTAATGTTAGTATTTATGAATTTAAAGTGAGCCTATTCTGTATAGCTGTGTGTTTTTTCTCCTGCAGTGTTCATCCGCTTTTTATCCTGCAGTGTTCATCCGCATAGTTTGCAGCCACAGGCAGGTTAGGGGGAGATTTGGATTTAACCAGAATGTTGGTTTCATGAAGCAAAGAGGAATAATGTGACAGAGAGGCAAAAGGAGTCTTAAGTTGGCAAAATAATTGATTGTTGTTTTGATTTTGGATTTTAGGCTAGGTAAGTGGAAAAGTGAGGACAGGAAGAGGGTGAAGGACAGTAAAAAATTAGTAGAATCAAGGAATGGAAGGTCCTGACAGGGTTGAAGGACTGTTGGGTTGTAATATTAGAGGAAGTAAGGTGAGACATATTGAGGGATGGGCCGGGCACGGTGGCTTATGCCTGTAATCCCAGCACTTTGGGAGGCCGAATTGGGCAGATCATGAGGTCAAGGGATCGAGACCATCCTGGCCAACGTGGTGAAACCCTGTCTCTACTAAAAATACAAAAATTCGCTGGGCATGGTGGTCCACACCTGTAGTCCCAGCTACTCCGGAGCCTGAGGCAGGAGAATCGCTTGAACCTGGGAGGTGGAAGTTGCAGTGAGCCAAGATCACGCCATTGTACTCCAGCCTGGCCACAGAGCGAGACTCTGTCTCAAAAAAAAAGAATATTTTTCATATGTTTTAAAAATAGAACAGTTCTTCTTACCACTATACTGGTTTTAGAAAACATGGATGATTACTAACTAGACCCATTATTTCAGTAAGGGCTGCAAAATGGCAATATTCTAATTCTGTCATTCCTTCGTTTACTAGCTAGAATATTTTCCTAAAGAAAAAATTTTCCTCGTCAACCGTTTGTTCACCCTTAGGTACAGTTTGTACAGAAAAGGCAGAATAAATGGATTCTTTCCCTTCATATGATTTTGAGTTATTGAAGTGGTTCTCTGGCATCTCCTAGTGGGTTGTTTTTATTATTATCACCATTATATATTCATCATTTTTAGCATATTTGATGTGTCTTAAATTACTGCACTTATTTTCTTTTCCAAGCTTAAATGTTCTCATCTTTGGCTACTGTTTCAAGATAGCTTCTGAATCCTTTTAACACATCCCCAGTAGTGTTTGATGGTGTCCTACATTTCTGATATGATAGGACATCCCCAGATCATTTTGAACATTTTCTGCCCTATGCATGAAATCAATATTTTCTGTATGGTGCCCTGATTACTTTAAGTAGGAAATGGTATTTTGAGACCACAGTTATAGTGCTTGTTGCTGTTGGAATGGTTATTGTTGTTAGAGGGTTTTTGTGTGTGTGGACAGAGCTAGGATATATATGTATATATTTTAACAACTTGATTAATATATAATTCATAACAATACATTTTAGCCTTTTAAAATATACAGTTTAATATTTTTAAAAATATATATTCAGCCAGGTGCAGTGGCTCACGCCTGTAATCCCAACACTTTGGGAGGCCAAGGCGGGCGGTTCACAAGGTCAGGAGTTCGAGAATAGCCTGACCAACATGGTGAAACCCCAATTCTACTAAAAATACAAAAATTAGTCTGGCGTGGTGGTGTGCACCTGTAATCCCAGCTACTCAGGAGGCTGAGGCAAGAGAATCACTTGAACTCGGGAGGCAGAGGTTGCAGTGAGCCGAGATCGCACCACTGCACTCCAGCCTGGGCGACAGAGTGAGACTCTGTCTCAAAATAATAATAATAATAATAATATATATAATTGTATATATATTTTTTCATGGGGTTATGAAACTACCACCACAATGGAATTTTAGAGCATTTCATCACTAAAGGAAACATGGTATTCATATGGGATTGATGGTACGCATCCCCTAGGTCCTGCCCAACCTAATCAACTACTGATCTTTCTGTCTCTATAAATTTGCCTATTCCACACATTTCATATAAATGAAATAATATATTATGTGACCTTTTTTGACTGACTTCTTTCACTTAGCATGTTTTCAAGGTTCATTCCTATTATAACAGGAAATATATTCTTAACAAAATGAGCATCATGAGTTCATACTGCTGTTTCCAATGTTAAAAATTTTAGCCAGGTGCAGTGGCTCACACCTGTAATCCCACCACTTTGGAAGTTCAAGGCGGGTGGATCACGAGGTCAGGAGATCAAGACCATCCTGGCAAACACGGTGAAACCCCGTCTCTACTAAAAAAAAAATACAAAGAATTAGCCGGGCGTGGTGGCAGGCGCCAGTAGTCCCAGCTACTTGGGAGGTTGACGCAGGAGAATGGAGCTTGCAGTGAGCTGAGATTGCGCCATTGTACTCCAGCCTGGGCAACAGAGCGAGACTCCATCTCAAAAAAAAAAAAAAAACAAAAAAAAAACAATTAAATTATAGAGTTTTAACTTTGGTTTTATTTTTGTAGCTTTTATTTGCTCAATGATCCATCTGTATATCTATATATGTATGTATAAATAAGACAATTTCAGAGCAACATTATTAGTCCTTACAATATTCCTACAGTAAATAATTTTAACATTTCTTTATAGATCTATTTGCTGCTAGGATATATCACTCTAGAGAAGTACAGTCCAATTATTGAGCTTTAAAGTAACTATAACTAATTTCCATGTGGTTAAGCTGAAAACTTGATACATGATTAGTTTCATTTGTTTTATTTTGCTTCTGGTTTTTAGGTATAGCTTTTGTTTTAACATTTGATCCAATTTAATTTTGTCCTATAATTATGTAAAACACTTACATGGTTGGAAAGTCAGATATACAAAACAAGGTGTATTAAAGTGTACACAAAACAAATACAGAAAATAAAGAGAAGTCTTGGTGTTTATTCTATTTGTGTCTCTACCACCTTTTAGTAACCGTTTTTAAATTGTTAAATTTTTTGGTTTTCCTTCTACTTTTTAATGTAAGCAAATATGCATAAAATGCTAGTTTACTATCCATAATTTTTTTTGTTTTACTTATCCAGCTTTTTCATCGTAAATAAATTTGAGGATTTGGCTTGATAAGCTGAGTGAAAAACTTTTTGGTAATTATAATTGAAATTATATAAATTTTATAGATACTATTGGGAAAATAGGCATCTTTACCACGCTGACTTTTTCTGTCTTTAACTATGGTATTTATTTAAGGTTACTTTTGTGAACCTTAATACATTTTCTTGACTATGCTCTTATACAGCTTTTGTTTGAATTATTCCTATTGTCTTGGAGTTTTTGTCACTTTTGTAAATTGTGAATAAGTTAGTTAAAATGCCACATAGACCTGCTACCACATTTAACACACCTTTCTCCTGATTAAGTGTTTGCTTGGGTGCAACCT